CTCTAGTCTTGAGGATATAGATGCCTCTTCAGCCATAAAATCTGACYGCCAAATAAGAGTGATTTATCTAGCATCCATCTCCATAGATCCCCCACTTATCATCTGCCCTTCCTCTCCCCCCCCAAACCACTCAAGATCCACCCAAGCAAGTGTAGAGGGAGGGAATAGTTCAGAAAAATACTCAGGTGATCTCAAAGAAGCTCCTGGTTGTATGTCAAACCATCTTTGAAAGGTGATCTGGTAATCTCGCTTAAAGGACACCTGATCCCCTTCCCCACCTGGCCACACCACCTCTCCCAGTTTCTCTCCTGGTGCATCCCCCAGCCAGTCCAGATTGAATTGTAAAATTTTTTGTTTGATATCCTTTTTCTGTTTGAATTGTATAAGCTTTATTTTCATCGTTTCCCATTGATTTCTAATTTCAGTTTGGACAAAATGTTGGATTATTTATGTTATCTCTTGTTTTTCGATTTTAATCCCCTCCATTGTATTTACACATCTATTTTGCCACAAAGTCCACAAGACCGCTTTTCTTCCCAAACTGAAGAAGTTTTGTCGAAAAGCAGATAATTCTGTTAATACTGGATTCCAATGCCCAAGGAGGATAGCCCTCCAGTCCCATGGCCACTCCAGGCCTGTTAGCCTTCTCCATACGTAATCCCAACGACGCCAAAGCAATACTGAACCCGGGCATTGTAGAAAGACATGTTCAATTGTTTCTCTGATCTTCCTACTAGGAAAGGCCTGTACACAAGAGTTGCACCATGGCAAAGCTAGGCCTTTTTGTTCTAATGTAGAGTGTTCTATTAACAAGTCATTTGTGGGTAAACACCTGTGCATTATTTGCCATTGTAGAGATGCAAATTTAGCAGGCCTCTCCTTGAGTCCTTGGAACCACTTCACTGGTTTTAGCAGGTCTTCGTAGATGTTTAGGTGTCTATGCCATCGGTCTTGTATGATTTTTGAGACCTCTACTTTAGGGCGCAATATCCTGTAAGATGCCTTTACTGACAAGGACTGTAATCTTAGGGGTTTACTCCTCCTATTTATACGCCATACCCACTCCGATGGATCTAAGGGGAGATCTAGAATGGGAATATTAGGAAGGAACATTGTCCATCCCTTTGTCGCTGGGCAATATAGCGCCCTCACCCTGTGCATTTCATTAAAGTATGAGAAAATAACCTTGTCTTGATCCTTGTTATAAATTCTATCGTCCTTATGAATTTTTAAAACATTCACTAGCGCTCCCTCCTCATAGACATCCAAATTCGTCCTACTGACTTGGAGCCATCTTGTAGATTTAAACAAACCCAGTCCGATATTCGAAAAATCGGACCTCTTTTCAGCGCCACTATCCACGCCAGAGGAATAGATGAAATAATTTCTTCCAAATTTGTAATTAAATTGTGTGCATACTTTATCTCTTTTTTGAGTTTCTGTGTTGTCTTTCAACTCTTATTTATCGGGTCCCAAAGATCTTTAATTCTTATTATTCCATGTTTGACCCATGTGGACCAAGGGGAGTCCGAGCTTATGAAAACTCTACCATTTCGATCCGTAAGCCACCTGTTACCAAACAGAGGTTGACGTAAGACTTCCTTAAACCTTGCTGGTGCTGCCTTGTTTGGTAAAGGCAACTCCCGCCAGGTTTTTAGTAGACTAGACCAAAAGTTATCCAATCCTAGATCTCTCGTGGCCTCCACTCTTACCCCTGACCCAGTATAATGCGTTTGGGAGCGAGGAATAGTCCAAAACCTATCCTCCACCCATGTCAGGGGGTGCACCTCCTCAGTAGTTTGGGGGACCAATCTACGAATTTGCTCCAGTGTCAGGTCTCGCCATGAGAGATCTGTAGTAAGAATTAAATGTTTCACTATTTGGAGTGCTAAAGCCTGACATTGAATTTTTGGATCTATAAGTATGCTACTCTTGGGATTACATGTGGTGTTTCATGGTCTCCTCTCCAGAGAAAAGTTGTAAGTTGTCTTATCAATTCCTTTGTAGACTTCTTATTTAGTGACCACAAGAAGGATTTGTACCAGATCGAGGCCAACACCACATTATTAATTATGAGAGCTCTACCAAAAATTGATATATGTTTATTCTTCCATAGTTTCATTTTTTCTAGTGTCGGGGAAGAAATCCATAAATCATTTGAACTTGGCTTCCCTAGAGTTGTGAGAATAACTCCTAAAACCCTAATAGGTGCTTCCAAAGGAACCCATTTAATTCTAGGAAATTCCGGGGGTCTAACCCCTCGTGAGTGAATCCACCAACCCTGCGTTTTATTCCCCCAAATTGACTAGCATATCAGATAAAGCAGAAAATTTGTCCATTATTGCTTTGATTTCTTCGAAGTTGGATGAGGATGCCTCCATCATGATTGTTAAGTCATCGGCAAACATAGAGTAGATTGGGATTGCCTCCTTAGGGATATTGGCAATCCTCAGTCTTTGAAGATTACTGTTCTCCCTGAGATTTGCTCCTAATGCTTCCATAATAATAACAAAAAGAAAAGGAGCTAAAGGGTCCCCTTGCCTTACTGATCTCTGGAGAGGAATCTCAGGGGAAAGTAAGCCATTGACCTGGACCCGAGTTGTGGCATTTGAGTGAAGAATTTGAATCCATCTCCTTACTCTGGGACCAAAGTCCAACTTAGTTAAACATGCATCCATGAAGCGCCAATCCACATGATCATAGGCTTTTTCAAAGTCTATAAATATGAACGCCGCATTGTGCTGGTTTTGCCTAGATAACTTAACCATTTCATTGATTAACAGCACACTATCATGTATATTTCTCCCATGAATAAACCCTGTTTGAGAGGGATGAATAATATCAGACATTACAGGAATAAAACGATTAGCGATCGCCTTTGCTAGCATTTTGTAGACCACTGTCAGTAAAGTGATTGACCTATAATTTCTTATGTTGGTCTTATTGCAATCAGACTCGACTTCTTCACACTTGTCATGCATGCAAACAGCGAAACAGCAAACTGGCAACATGCGCCCACACAGTACTCAAAGATATCGTAACCAGATATGAGTTCTCTTCCCACTGGCTATGGCGACTGTGCGCCCATACAACTCACTGTTCACACTCGAGATCACCCTGGATGTCCCACACGCACACTCAGTGTTCATACCCAACACACACACACAGTACACACACTCTGCACTCTACACTAAGCTATGGCAGCTATGGCTGGCGCTACCTATCGCTATGGCTACAGTGCTTCACTCTTGCCCCCTTCGTCTTCGGGCCTCCAGCAGACCTCCTTGCACTAGACGCTGTGACAACGCTACCGCATGGCTTCCGCCTGAATGAATCAATGGCTGGACGCAGCCTCTTGATTTATACTTCTGCGCTGCGTTGGTCTGCCCTCTACCCCTTGGCCCATGATGTGCACAGTCCCAGACGGTACTTGCTTGACTGGACCGGACTGGGCTACCTGGGACTGCTGACTGGGCTAGGTGGACTACCACCACTTGACCACTTGCCTTTGCTGAATACAGGCCAACTCCGAAAGGCCAGTTCTAGAAACCTCTACGTCGGCCCTTCGGTACTGTAGCAGCTACGACTTTGCCCTTTCAGGTAAGTAGCCGCTACGRCCTTGACTCCTCAAGCAGCCTACAGCTACCACTTCGGAACTGTCTAGACTCCTAATCTATAGGTCTACAGTTCGATTCCCTTCTACCGTGTGACCTACGACAAATTGCCTACCACTCGCGTTCCTACAGGTCGCAGGTTCAAGTCTATGGGTTGACACTGATACTGTACACAGGTAAGATGGGGATCTAGGGATCAAGCCCTGGGATCTGCATTCGCTACCGCGAACTGGTGAATACCGTTTCACTCCCGCCGGCCTAAATTCGAGGTCCTCCGAGAAAATTTCAGTCCAAGGCAGGACCTTTACCTTTCTGCTGTCTTTCGTAAGCCCGGACTATACCGGGAGCTATCTCTAGAAGTTCAGATCTTGTAAACCAGCGGTCGTCTTCTGGCTCCTGATAACTAAAATGAACCTTGTATTGTTTCTGCGGACGACCCCTACCTCCAGTTCTGAAGACTTCTTCAACCACTATACCATCTATGTCATAACTTCCATCCATATCAGGTGGGATCATCGATCTACGGGATGGAAACTGATCACTTGTTTGACAAGGTAGCAACTTCGATGCGTGGAAAACTGGATACGTGTGGAGGTGTGTTGGTAGTTCTATTGTATAGGACGGTCCATCTTCGCCGCCTTTGACTTCCAGAACAGGCCACGGTCCTCTATATGTGGGGAGTAACTTTTGCGAGATGTTCTCCTCCGGCGCAAACTCTTTAGAACTAACCCAGACTAAGTCGCCTACTTGAAACTGTGAAGGGCGACGATGTTTGTTCGCTTGCTCTATCATCCTATGCTGGGCTTTTTTGAGGTTCTTTACGACAGTAGTTAGTTCTTTCTCGTGCTGCACAGCAAACTCCCTGGTCCCGGGCGACAATCTTTGAATCTGATCCCGGTTAAGTCCCTCAAACGGTCTGCGCGGTCTAAAGGACTTGTGCAGTTCGTTGGGAGTGCGGCAGGTGGCTAGATGCACGCTGTTATTGTACGCACTAGCTACTTTAGGCAACATCTCATCCCAGTTAATCTGATCTGGCCTAATATACATGCGCAAAACTTGCTGTAGGATCTTGTTCATTTGCTCTGTCTGGCCGTTAGTCTCTGGATGGCGGACGGACGACATCAACAACTTAGATCCGTATACTCCCATGAGTTCTTGCCAGTT